AGAAAGCTCTAAAATCTACCTAGGATTACCATTAAAAATTTTTGCCCTGCTCGTTTACTCCTGCTTGCAAAGAAAGGTGAAAAATGAAGAAACCAGATCTAATCAATATAGAAACCAGAACAATTATCTACACGGTATTCTATAAACTCTTTCATGATCACAACACAAGCCTACATAAAAGGCAATAAAAAAATATTGTAATTGATGTGATTGTTTGTAAAATTTAATGTTAATGAAATGTAAATTAAAGTAATTAAAAAATAAAAAATAATTACATGTTTTTTTGGTAATATCATTATCTAAATCAATTTAATTATAATTTTATTCAAACATATTATATATTTTTTTTTGTTGTTCATGAATCTCAATTATAATTTTTACCAAATAAATATCTAAATCCAGCTAATAATACTTATTTTAAATTTATTTTTTTTCTAATTATAATCATGAAAATTATCCATAATACCAAATATATTTTTTGGTTCATGGTGCAGTTTATCTCTTGCACCACCTATATATTGAAAATTATTTCATTAATTAATATATATTATAGTTTCACATGAATTTTACTAAAAAAAAATTTTCGAAATTTTGATTGAGATAAAATTACAATATATAATTTTTTAAATACCAGCTATAAAAGTTACTATAATACTAAATATATATTAATTATACTAATAAGTATAAATTATTTAGTTTATCATTACAAGCATACAAAATAAAATATTATTAAAAAATTAACATCTAAGCATGTTTAAAATTGTAAACATATAATTTATATATCATAACAAACTTATAATTATCAGAGGGAAATTTGAGCAATCTAATTAGGTGAAAGAGGTAAAAAAAAGAAAAATAGTTAATTTGGAGGGAAAATACTATCTCAAGCAATTTTTATTTTATTTTTTGATATTTTTTATCCCTTGAGCTCTTCATTGTTGTGGCCTATTTGCTGCCATAGGCCTGCAAGTGTGGTTTTTGCCTTTCGGATTAAAAAACAAAAGTGGGTTAAAAAAAGGTGATTAATGTAAAAGAAAAGTTGGTTATAATTTTGTTTTAGGTTTAATATAATTTTAAGGGGAAAGAAATTGATTGAATTCATGATGGAGTCATGAGTTTGAAGATTTAAGCTACAATATTTAGGTTATTATTTTTTTCTAATATTATTTTTTAATATGTTTTTAAAATAAATTTTAAATTTATGTTTCAATTAAAATATTTTCTCTGTTATTTTTTTTGTTTATTTAATTATTTTGAATAAATATTATTTTGTGATGGTTTTGTGGATATTTAATATTTAAAAATATTATTTTTATTTATTTATATTTTATACACAACAACTTTATATCTTAAAATAAAAGGTTATTTCTAATATGTACAAATAAAAATTTATGCCCTGCTCGTTTACTACTGCTTGTCAAGAAAGGTGAAAAATGAAGAAACCAGATCTAATCAATATAGAAACTAGAACAATTGTCTACACGGTATTCTATAAACTCTTTCATGATCACAACACAAGCCTGCATAAAAAGCAATAAAAAAAATATTGTAATTCATGTGACTATTTGTAAAATTTAATGTTAATAAAATGTAAATTAGAGCAATTAAAAAATAAAAAATAATTATATGTTCTTTTTTATAATATCATTACCTAAATCAATTTAATTATAATTTTACTCGAACACTACCAATCATAACTAATTATACTTATTTTAAATTTATTGTTTCCAAATTATAACCATGAAAACTATCTGTAATATTAACCTATATATTGAAAATTATTTCATTAATTAATATATATTATAGTTTTACATGAATTTTACTAAAAAAAAGTTTTTGAAATATTGATTGAGATAAAATTATAATTTATAATTTTATTAAATACCAACTATAAAAGCTATTATAATACTAAATATATATATTAATTATACTAATAAGTATAAATTATTTAGTTTATCATTACAAGCATATAAAATAAAATATTATTAAAAAATTAATGTTTAAGCATGTTTAAAATTGTAAACATATAATTTATATATCATAACAAACTTATAATTATCAGAGGGACATTTGAGCAATCTAACTAGGTGAAAGAGGTGAAAAAAAAGCTGGTTAATTTGGAGGGAAAATACTATCTCAAGCAATTTTATTTTAGTTTTTGATATTTTTTATCCCTTGAGCTCTTCGTTGTTGTGGCCCTATTTGCTGCCATAGGCCTGCAAGTGTGGTTTTTGCCTTTTTTATTAAAAAACAAAAGTGGGTTAAAAAAAGGTGATCAACGTAAAAGAAAAGTTGGTTATAATTTTGTTTTAGGTTCAGTATAATTTTAAGGGGAAAGAAATTGATTGAATTCATGATAGAGTCATGAGTTTGAAGATTTAAGCTACAATATATAGGTTATTATTTTTTTCTAGTATTATGTTTTAATATGTTTTTAAAATAAAATTTAAATTTATGTCTCAATTAAAATCTTTTGTCCGTGATTTTTTTTTGCTTATTTAATTATTTTGAATAAAGATTATTTTGTGATGGTGTTGTGCATATTTAATATTTAAAAATATTATTTTGATTTATTTATATTTTATATACAACAACTTTATATCTTAAAATAAAAAGTTATTTCTAACATGTACATCTTAGCATAATATTTTTAATTTAATTTAATTTAATATGTATTTTTTCAATATCATTTAATTAATTAAATAAATACATTTAATAAATAAATTCAGTAAATATAACTTGTTAAATGTCATTTCTTATATAATTAAATATCTTTATTTATATCTATCTCTTATTTTTTATAGTTTTATATTTGGTTACAGTAAATAATTTTTTTTTCTTGTTTCTTAATATACATAATTTTCTATTTATTTTATTACACAAACACATAAAATTTCTAATTTATATTTAAAACTTAAATGTATAATTTTCTTTTATATAAGAAAAAAAATACTTAACTAATTATATCCAAGCCATTACATGCCGCGTTCAAATAGCTATCACCTCTGTTTTTTTAAACTCGTACCAAACACCACTTTAATTATTATTATTATTTTCTTAATTATAGCATCGTTTTGTCCTCTTTCTCCCCCGCAGTCTCCATTCCAAAAAAAGCCGGCTTCCAAACGAAAGCTAACACGAGCACCATCCATCACTGGTTATCACCGTCACCAACACAGCACAAACCCAACAAGAAAAGAGAGAGAGAGAGATGGAGAAGATAGAGCACACAACTGTAGCCACAAATGGCATAAACATGCACATAGCATCAATTGGTACAGGCCCTGAGATCCTATTCCTCCATGGCTTCCCTGAGCTCTGGTACTCATGGAGACACCAGCTACTATCTCTCTCCTCCCTGGGCTACCGCTGCATAGCCCCTGACCTTCGTGGCTACGGTGACACTGACGCGCCAAAGGATCATAGAGAGTACACAGTATTCCACATCCTGGGCGACCTTGTGGGGTTGATCGACTCTCTGGGAATCGATAAGGTGTTTTTGGTGGGTCATGATTGGGGAGCAGTGGTGGCTTGGTACTTTTGCTTGCTGAGGCCTGACAGAATTAAGGCCTTGGTTAACATGAGTGTTGTGTTCCAACCCAGGAATCCAGACAAGAGTTTCGTCCAGATTAGTAGAGATTTATTCGGTGATGATTATTATATCTGCAGGTTTCAGGTTTGTGAAAAATACTTCCGAATTTATCAGCATATTTGTTTCCAGTTTCAGAGCTTGTTCTCTACCTCGGTTATTTTGTATATTATACGCTACTAATTCGGTTTTATTTTTTATTTTTTATTTTTTAATTTTGTACTGTGGGTGGTGTTCACTTTTTTTCTTTTAGTAGTGGTTTTAGTGCTATAAGGTAAATCTGGTATGAATTTTTGCTCTTGTCTGGTGGTTCGTTAATAATAAATGTTGCAAAATTCTTTCATTTGATTTCATGGTGGGGTAGAATAGAATCGCTTTATTGATTTGATACTTTTTGCATGTTCCTAAAGCTGGAGTTATTATTAGATCAGATGTTAGGGTTTTCATATTTGGAATATTAACTTTAACAATTATTAGATTCTTTGTCATGTCCTTCGTGTTATTGTTTTCCCTGGATTGTGGAGTTATTATTAGATTAGATGTTAGGGTTCATATTTGGAATATTAACTTTAACAATAATTAGATTCTTTATCATGTCCTTAGTGTTATTGTTTTCCCTGGATTGTGCTCTTTAACATTTAGCTTTAACTAGTGGAGCAACTCAGTGACCCAACACAAAGTGAAAAGGAACTGCAAAGCCAAGCGCTATTTCAAAATAAAGTAAAACCTTTTCTATCCAGAAAATGAGCTTTTTAGTTTTTCAAATTTGTCTCGAGTTTAAAAAACACATTTTAGAGTTTTTTCATGGTTTTCATTCACCAGTTTTCCACTGTTTTTCAAATAAAGAAAAGACATGAACTGTACATTTTTTTTCTTTTCTTTTATATGAACATTTTAAAGCAATATAAAAGATTAAAAACATTTATTTTTTAGATCTTCATATTTAGTTAGTGTCATCAATTTAATTTTGATTAGAAGTCTAATAGAAGTGTTTTCTCTCTTTTTTTTAATTAACAGCATAACTTTTTCATGAAATAAAATTAATTTTCTACCATTAGATCATCAAGAATGCAAAATATTAAGATGGCTATTATAAATTATAGTTTTGATTTTCTTTTAATAAAAAATAGCTGTAATCTTGGTATATTTCTTATATTTTTGGATGAACAAATTAGTCCTCATTCTCTACAAATGAACACATTTTCTAATTTTTCATCAACAGACAAAAACCAGAAAAGAAAAAGGAAACTGAAAATAGAAAAGAAAAATAATTTTCTGTTAGTGAACAAACCCTTAATGCTATTAATGTCTATGTGAAAACTTTGCTGGAATTGCATTAACAGCTTCAAAGGCGTTGCACATTTACTTCCGAGTTGTCTAGAATAAGGATTTCTCTTACCCGATATCTTACTCTTTGAAGTGCTATGGATTTTATATAGAATTTATTGAGAATTATCTTGGGTATATAGCCTTCTGGAATTGTACTCTTCTAATCATGCAGAACCTGGTATTTAGTCGTCCTTTTCTGGTTGCTGTAAATGCTGTTCAGGGTTGATTTAACCATCATAAAAAGTTTCAAAACTTGTGAGGCAGGAACCTGGAGAGGTTGAAGAAGACTTTGCTCAAATGGATACTGCAAGAATAATCAGAAAGTTTCTGACCTCTCGTAATCCAAAGCCACCTCGTATACCGAAAGAGGTAGGGTTCAGAGGTTTACCTGACAATCCAAATTTACCTTCTTGGTTGTCAGAAAAAGACATAAACCATTATGCTGGCAAATTCAACAAGACAGGCTTCACTGGAGGATTGAACTACTATCGATGCTTGGACCTGTATGTGTACTCAATCTCTTCTTATTGTCTTTAATACAAATACATGTCAAAATATGTCTAGGACATTAATCTTCTTGTTCATCATCATAGTAACTAGACACTTTGCTCGGTAGAGGATTCATTTTCCATGTCTTTATTTGGTGCACAAGTCCATTTCACCTCCAATTCTCATACAATATTAGTTTCAGCAGAGCAATGGATCTCTTCCATTGTTTTGTCGTAACATTGATTGGGCAGATATTTGTCAAGGCATAAACTTTTGCATTCTCGATTAGCAGATGTGGATTAGATTGCTGAAGGCATTGAAAGTTGCCGCTTCATTTCTGAAAGGAATTGATTTTCTCAACTCAATTTTGTTCCTTGTTGCAGAAACTGGGAGCTGACGGCAGCATGGACTGGGTTACAAATTAAGGTACCAGTGAAGTTTATTGTGGGTGACCTGGACATTACCTATAATATGCCTGGAGCTCAAGATTATATCAGCGAAGGTGGGTTAAAAAAATATGTCCCCTTCTTGCAAGAAGTAGCAATAATGGAAGGTGTAGCTCACTTTCTCAACCAAGAAAAGCCAGAGGAAGTCAGCTCACATATCTACGATTTCATCAAGAAGTTTAATTAGCATTAGACATCTCATACATGTTCCTTTCAAGGTTTTATATATATATATATATATATCAGAACTCAATTGCCTGCTTTTCCTGTACGGCAATGCTCCATTCCACGGGACGGGCTTAAAAGTGTGTTAAATAGGTTGCAACAAATAATACATACAGGTCTTTGAGCCCAAGGTTGGAGGTGGGCGTTGTCTGCTCCTGAGTGCTTACGCTACTGTATCTTATAAAAGGATTTATCATACCCTAGTCTGTTCTGTGTCCTTTTCATCTTACCTAGAAAATACTTCACATATTCGGGACCCAAAATCTTCACAATTACCAGTCAACTACAGTTTTATTACCCAAAGGTAAGATCCCCAACAGGGTTATCTGGTAATTGTGAGACGTCATAACCTGAACAAGGATTTCTATGAACAGAAGTATTGTGCTGGAGAGAGATTTTCTCTATGTTGGGTGTCTTCCAGTTTTCGCCCTTCATGTCAAAAAGATACAGAATCTCTGTTATTATTGTCTTGTTCTCATCTAAATGATTTCACTTGTCCGGGTCTTTTCTTCTCCCTTTTTTTTTTTGATAGAGTAAAGTCTTCAATTCACGCTGATCACTTTACAAATCCCAACCAGCAAACCCAAATTGTTAACACAAGATTTGTTTCCTGTGACTGTCAATCGATATGCATGAAGGGAAATCTGATTATCCGAGCGACATGACAATCGGAGCTTGATAGGATGCATTTTTTCTTGGTTTTTAGATGATGTGCATGGAAGAATACCTTCAAATTAAATGTCCATCCAGTTTTAGTCTCTAATCGTTGACATGAGCTCCACCATCTCCAGGTGCCCTATAGCCAATGGAAAACAATTTTGTGACAAAAGAGGAAGGGATCAGATGCCTAAAGCATGTGAGATTGGCCTTGATGAACCAATGGAATATCAATCATGTGAAGTCAGTTGCGGCTGCTACGAGGATGTAATCCAGATGAAAAGAATGCACAAGATCATGGAGTCCCTGCCCAGGCCCAGCGGGCCCAACTACCAAGCACCAGCCACGCACAACTAAATTTTGCATTTTCACGTGGGTGGATCGATGATTTTATTTTTGTGTCGATAAACAGATCCGACATTAAACCTAACTTTTGATAAAAAAATAAAAATCACTATACCCTGTAAGGCCTTATTTCTTAAGAAGAGCAAACTGTATTTTTGTGAACGAATAAGCCATCTCAAATGAAACCGAATCATCTCAATGACACGAACCACCTCAGATATCAGTAACGGTAACATTGCTGAAATTCAGAAGTAAACCATTAATCACCCAGTTGACAAACAAAATCGTTGCTCAGATCAAAATATTGAAAAACTGAAACTTTTAACTTCTAATACAAAATAATTGTTCATGACGTGAGGATAAGAAAAGAAAAGATAAAACAAATTGATTGCATATTGGCTTATAGATGCATCTGAGTGGATTTGCCTGTATTTTCTGCGTGAGATACCAGACTCAAACCCTAAATCCCTTGCTGTTCCTTTTACCTCTAGCCTTCTCAAATTTCCTTCCTTTTGATCGTATATAGGGTTTGGTGTGGCTGTGTGGCACACCAGGAGCTGGTCCAAAGTGCTTCACAGCCTCACGAGCATTCTTGGGACCTCTGAGAAGAACCTGTAACATTGGCCTATGATTACTTAATATCCTCAATGTGAGAAGGCTCCAAGCAAAACAAATTCTTTAATCACGCCAAAAAGGAGCAGAAGAAACTAGTTGCACATGTGAATAGAACCATCAAGTATAAGTTGATCACTGTAATTTTACTTGCATGATGCATACCATAAAGGACAAGGAAAACTAGGAAACTGGTAATAGAATAATAGAACCATCAAGTATAAGTTGATCAGTGTAATTTTACTTGCATGATGCATACCATAAAGGACATGGAAAACTAGGAAACTGGTAATAGAATAATGGTTACAAAGAAAGCTCGAGATTAATGAGCATATCCTCATGTGTTCCTTCCACTGTACTTGCTTCATCTTATATCATTACAAGGAAACATAGAGGCAAGAGGAACAGAAGTGCAACCAGAGCTTTATACATGAATAATGAGAACAATCTAGCACTGTGAACACAGTGAGATGATGTGTCTGACTCTAGGAATTTAACTTAAAAAGGTTCCAAGATTGGTCCACGATCATATGCCTGGTAAATGAGATGGAAGGCAAACTTGCTAACAAACTACAGTACTCACAACGTGCTGACAACCTTCGAATCTACTTGAAAGCACTTTTAAAGTACTCACACAACATGCTAACAAACTAGTTCAAAACATGCTACCAATGGCGGGCTCATGATCCTTTCATGAGAGAATTCAAGTACATCCCAAAATTTAAAAGGATTGATATGGTGCTTAGCTTTATAGGGAATTGAAGTCATTTACTTCTATAAAGGTAATACAACGCAAGAGAGCCATATTTCAAACTCAAAAGAATATTGAATACTCCAGAATGCTTCTTTGCAAGTACAACCATCATGCTAATATGTAATTTATCAAGTAAATAACAGTTCATGTCAGGGAAAGTGAATTATATAAACCTCCCACACATCCCTGGCTTTACATCTAACACTATTAGGCTACTTTATCACCCCTTGCCAAAATACAATAACCAGTATAAGAAGCATCTTAGATGAGCCTGCTATCCTCAACCACAAAACAAGTTTCAACTAGAATCACAATCATAATTAAGCCAATGAAGACAGTTAATAAAATAACATTAAAGTCCCTCAAGCTTAATTATTAAACATCAGAGTTCCAAATTCAGACAATTCCAATTTTGAAGGCGCCACATTATTTAATTAAGGCATAATAATCAACAGTTGACAAAAATATCATCAAAGAGGTTGGTTAGATTTGGCATACCGTGTTCTGACCAAGAGGAGCACGAAGAGCAAGCTGATCAAAAGTCAAGCATTCACCACCTGCCTTCTCAATCCTAGCCCTGGCAGTTTCGGTGAACCTCAAGGCAGTAACCTTGATAGCAGGAACCTCATAAACCCTGATATCATCAGTTATTGTCCCAACAACCACTGCAATCTTACCCTCCTGATTAAAAAACACAGATAATATCACTAATCAATAACAAAAGTAATATAAATGAAAAAAAACAGAGTGATATAAGAAGAGAGAGAGAGAGAGATGGACCTTGCCCTTCATGTAAGTGATCAAACGAGAGAGAGAAAGAGGAGGCTTGTTGGTCTTGCTCATGAAGAGTCTCTTCAGTATCACCGCATTGAACTTGCTGCCTGTCCTCCTCACCAAAAACCGGTACAGCTGTTCACAGATCCACCCATTTATTTAACAATACACACACACACACACACACACAACAGAAAGATAGAGATAGATAGGGGGGGTAAGAGAGAGAGACA